ATATATAATGAAAAAAAAAGTATATTTTATTATTTTTTTTAATTTTAAAAAGTATTAGAAATATAAATACATATGAATTGGGTGGTATGGAAGGCCCCTCTTTATGAAAGTGGGCCCCACTTTAAAATTTTAAAAAATTTTAAAATGATGTTTATTATGCGGCGTAAAATGATTGGGGGGTAGGTGCAGATTCTGTATCGAATAAGAGCTACTCACTTCCATGAGTGATAATCTATAGACCTTTATTAATTCAAATCACATAACGAAACCAAAACAACTAAAAAAAAAAAAACCCCACAAACTTCCTCCCTCCTATTTCCCCCATGGATCTGAACCATTAAACCAACCTTCCAACCCAACAAACAGTTAAACTTCAAGCAACAGAATCATCAAAGCTCTCTCCTCCCTCCCCCACTCCCCTCTTAGCTCCTGAATCATCAATATAATTCTGATACAAATATGACAAAAAGCCCCATATCGCAATCAACATGGCCATCACCTTCACCCCATCCATCTTATCATGGAAGAAAATCACCGCAAAAACAGGAACGACGGGCAGAGCAAGCGTGCTAATGGTGTTGGAGAACAGAGACGACACCACAAAAATCAAACCAACAACACCTACAGAAGCAACCTGCCATGCCACTCCCACCCCCACCACAGTCCCCACATAACAAACCTTTCCCTTCATAAATCCTTCATACTCCTCTGCCAATCGCTTCCACTCCCCGCTCGCAAATAGCCCCACAACCGAAGCGCACGAAGCCATGAATGCCGTGCAGATCTGCATTTCCAGAACGACGGTGAAAGTTTCCTTCTTTATGACTTTCTGAAAGGTGAGCTGCATCAGGGAGAGGATTAATGAGTAGGTTGCAGATGCTGCTACTGTCAGTATGAATCCAAGAATGGATTTTTCTGTCGGAATGGTGGTGGAATCGCCGGAGGAGTTCTGGTTGAGGCCAATGAGAGCGGAGGAGAAGCAGAGGAGGATGACGGAGTTGAGGATTAAGGGGGTGAATTTCTGTGAGTTTATGAAGTAGGAGAAGATGGAGTTGAAGGCGAGTTGTGAAGCACAAATGAGGGAGTAGGTGGAGACAGGTAGGTAGAGGAGGCCATAGGAATACATGAGATTGTTGGCAGCGATGAGGAGGCAAGGAGGCCGAGAGCTGTGTAGATGACGGCGAGCTTTGGGGTTGATGGGCCGGAGATGGTGTTGGGGGAGGAGGAGGAGGAGGTGGTGGTTCTGGTGGTGGGGAGGAGGACGAAAGGGAAGAGGAGAGGAAAAAGGGCAGTTTGAATGAGTGTGGAGAGCCATTTGCTGTTCCCTCCCTGGTTGTAGTAGAAGCGGCCGAGAAGGGTGGCGGCGGTCTGGCCTACGAGGAGGAAGAAGATGTTGAGGGCCACAAGTAGCCACCATTTCCAGTGCTTGAGTTTGGCTGAGAGAGGTGCGGTCAAATCCTTTGAGTCTGTTGATGTAGCATTTGGGGGGTTCTCCATCACTGCAATGCAGAAGAAGAATTTTGAGTAAAGTTGATCTTTTTTTTGATTGATTCAAAGAAGATAATTAATAAAATGTACACGCCAAAAATATCAACACGAATCTCAAAACTAAGATGATAGAGACGAACAATTCAAGGTTGAACATTAAACAGCGCCTCCATAACCCGGGAAAGGTTCATGAAGTTTGTTCATAGAACTCTCTTCCTTCCTTTCGCCCGCTTCAAACAAGATTATAAAACACCCATCTTTCTTCTATTTCTCATTAAAAAAAAAGTAATCTGCACTTTGTTCATATTGTCTTACTCGCATGATCTTCTCTGATACTGAACTTTTACAGGATTTAAATTGATTATCTTATCAGAAGAGGAAAAAAAATCAATTTTTATACCAAAACTAAATGCATGATGAACTCTGTAATCCCTACGGCAGAGAAACTGAAACATATCCGACGCTCCCAAACATACCTTCTTCCTCCAAGCTATCCTCAATGGCGGCGCTCTTGGCTACTTGCCGTTGTAGAGAAGCATCAGAGCAGTGGAAATGAAGAGCATGGGAATGAAGTTCTGATCACTTGTGGCGTGGAGAAGACATCACTTGTGGAGTGGAGGAGACGAGAAAACATTAGGTGCGGTGTTAAATGTCGGAGACACCAAATCGCATTGGAGCACCATTGGAGCAAAGTCAAGCTCATAGTGCGATTGCCGAACAACCCACCAAATATTTCTCGGCAGAAAACGGTAGGAACTTGGATTGATAGGGTAAGTACAAATTGAGTAAGGGAACATTTGCATACATAACTATAACTTCTTATGTATTTGCATTTCTAACTCTAAAAATTTAATTTTTACATACATGCCAATCTTATTTATGCATGAAAGGTTAAAAAAATGATATAAAGATTTGGGTAGTAAAAGTATAATAAATAAAAGTATATGGGCTAGATATGTAAATACACAATAGTTGGGTGGGGTGTATATAAATGCCCCATTAAGCTTTCAATTCTTTTTTTTTTTTCTCTAAAGTAAATTTAATAATATTTAAGTTTTTTACTGATTAAGATGTCTTAACCTAAAAAAGTTTTAATTTTTTTTCTTAATTAGTACTATGTTATTCCTTATTGGGGGTGGAGGTTTTCCTTCATTTTCTTAATTGTTTATTGCGTATGCTAACGCAATTAAATGCATTTGCAAAAAAAAGATTTTACTTGAATAAAGAAATAATCACATGAAGCAATAATATTGTGTTTTAATATAAATATAATATAAAAGTTGTTTCATACATTATACTTGGTGCGTGTCGGACAAATTCAGTGTCGGATAGATTCACGATGGTAGAGTAATGAATTTTTGTCTTAGTGTTCTATGAGAATTCAACACACACTCAGATGAAAAAAAAATAACCACTAGAGATATCATAAGTTCTTAAGTGGAAAACCTGAGAATGAAAAATCTTAGTGGTCTTGCCCAATTAAAATATTTCACTGTGAGTTGGTGATTGCGGGTTTTGCCCATTGTCTCACGGGCAAAATAGTGTTAAACAGTTTCTCGAGGTACAACATTCTTGCGTAGAAGAGCTCGTTGCCCTGTGTGGGAAGCAGTTGCAGTGAGGAGTAACTAGTGGAGTTTCAGTACGCCTTCTTCGAGGTCGGAACAAGTTCCGGATGATGCATTTCTTCGTTGGTTGCTTCATGACTATGTTGTGTTGGTTGTTGCTTCGCACGGTGTTTCATCACTTCACAGCTTAAGTCTTGACTCTACACAGAACTTCACTGCACTAAAGAGCGGTCGATAGTGGTCAGCGGCGGCCTGCGAGTGATGGTCAATGGTGTTTGGCGGTTAGAGAAGCGGGTGGAATCCGTCGGACTTTCTGTGCATAAACGATGATGAGCTTTGGCCCCTTATCCAGGCTCTAGTCTTCCTCTTACTCAAGGTCCAGTTCATTTCTCAAGAGAATGGTAGACCTCTATTTATAGAGTTCATATTGCAAATAAAGAAGGAATCTGGAGCACTATGATAGGACAGCCTAGGAAGATTCCCTCAATTGAATTGTGTTCTATGGACATTTTACTAACTTACTTTTGTCAAAATTAATTGATCTTATTCCAGTTGGATTTGTTTTATTGAGGCTCTCGATTTGAGAAAAGCATGTTAAAATCTTCTAAAAATGATTTAATGATTTGATTTGACTCAGATTAGATCAATTTTCGTACTGTTATGTTCGTCTCGTCGAGTCTGTCAATTTGATTATAAACATGTTAAAATAGATGTTCTGATGACTTATATAAATTTGAATGTTTCTTGCTAAAAAAATTACCTCGAGATTCATGTCAAATGATAAAAATTTATTGACAACATATTAACACTTTTTTAAAAATATATCCCAATTAATTTCAAAATTTTAAATTTCATCATGAATCAATGTTAGTTAATACATTTTAAATGATTTATTATAACAAAAACTTATTTATGCTTTGACATGTTAAAGAATCGTGCTAAAAAATTGTGTTCATATTCAACAAATTAATTGAGGCTAATTAAATACTAACTACATAACATCAAATCAAACAATCATAAAAATAAATAATTACAAGCTGCTTGATTGGCATTGTAACAGCTCATAATAAATATCGTTCTGTAGGGTACGTAGAGCTGTAAAAAAAATTTGTTGTTCGCGAACAGTTTGTGTTTGGTTCATTAATGAGTTCGTGTTCGATTCGTTCGATAAGTAAACGAGA